AATAAAAAACTTTTTTTGAGGAAGTCATTTATAAAACAGCCTTTTGTGAGTATAAGTACATATCTACTGCAAGTAAAACTGAAGTAACTGATTCTGAACATGGAACTTGTCTGTATCCTATTTACAAATGTTCAGATGTGTGGTGTCCTATGGGGGTTTAAGGTCACAAATGTTAAAAGCTGTCTAGGATCACTGGGCAGTTGCTGCAGGATGAAAGCATGCTGGCACAATTCACACCACTTCTAACACAGCTTACCAAACTGGTAGGCTCTAAGGCCTACCAGTTTAATAATCTTTCGTTTAATAAATGCAAGTTTATTCAAAGGGATAGTAAGTGAACAGCAGGTAAACTGACAAGAGAACAAGGCAGTAAGTTCATGAGGAACTGTTGAAGGAACCAGAGACATTTACCAAGGGTAGGTCAAGAAGGCACATTACACCTATAAGTTTTATAGAGAAAGGGCAGATTTTATGTGGACCTATATTATGTTAGCAGAAGCTTTTCAATAAATACAATATTCTCTTTATCAGAGGAGAGGTTTTAGCGGGTGGGGGTAGGGTAGGTTGGGTGGGCTGGAGGGATGTACCAGGAAGGTTATCAAAGAAGGGCTTCCTGCACTGGATGAGGGTAACAGTGGAATGGATAGGTTGGATGGATAACCCCAAACTTTAGGTTAATGATCAGAAATCTGTAAGGGCCGAATGATTCAGGTAAGATAAATAGGTTACATGGGACCCATGTATTAGAAAAAGCAGTGGTAAGAGAGGTTTGTGACAAATGGGACCATCTGGCAGGGAAAACCACTCCACCCCAGCCCATCACTGCCATGTAAGGAGGAGTGCTCCGTTCATCTAGATCACGGAGAACACTTTCACAGTGTTCTAAGAGTCAAACAATAGATTAGTGGCCTCCAGGAGAAACTGTAGCCTCTCCCTTGAACATGCCCAATTACAACCTCACCCATGAAACCTGAGATGATGATAGTAAATATAGCAAAAGAAAAACTGTACAGGCCCTCCCTGGTGGCCTAGGGGTTAAGTCTCAGCGCTAACACTGCTAGGGCCTGAGTTCGATCCCTTGCCAGAGAGCTGACCCACATGGCCCAGCAGACCTCTCCTTTCTTGCCTGCTCCTCCCCTCAGCAGTGTATTTCAGTCAATCTGCCTGGTCTGTTCCCTGCTCTGTCTCTGGTGAATCCTTTCACCCCCCACTTCTCCAAGCCCCACACCTCTGGCTTATACCCTAGTCCTTCTAAGCAAAAAGGAAAAAAAAAAAAAAAAAAAAAAAAAAAACAAAAAAAAAAAACCTGTACAGGTCCCAGAATTACTGTCATGTTGGTCTGCAACTTGAATCATCAGAGTGGCTACTTTAATCTGAAATTCAGATACACTGACTAATAAATAATTAATGGAATCTAGCAAGTGAAGACAAACCAGAGACTATCCAGCAGCTAAGAGCAGATTCTCCCTGTGCACACAACATAAATGAGCGCTACTTTCATCTACACAGATGCCTCTCCTTCTAGCAAGCTGCTCATCAAAATGAGGCAAGAAAGAGAACTAGGGGTTGCTTCACTGTGGCAGGTCATCGCTGTGAAGGTCATCCCTATACAACTTGGTAAACAACTTCAAAACTTCCCCTTAGCCTCAAAAATTTAGTCAGTGATCATTAGGGGAAGTTCAAGAGTTCCCACGAAAAGAGCACGCTTTCTTAAGGAAAACAGTCCCATTCAACCCCAGTTCACAGTCCTTCAGAAACTTTGTAGCTTTTCAATTATTAACAGATCTTTGCACTCAGATATCTGTGTATCCAGGATAAAGGCAAATCTAACTTTTTTTCATATTTTTTACAACTTCCATCTTCAAATATTCTATTTTGAATTTTACCTGATCACATTCAACTTTCAAAAGTAAGTCAGCTGCTATTTGAACATTAATTTCACTGCGGTCTGTGGTGTTTTAGTGACAGCTCTTAGTTAAGGTTTCCCAAAATTCTGAACTGAGAGAAATATTTATGGATAATAAATTTATTGAAAAAATAAAGAAAAAGACACTGAAACTTAGCATAAGAGTTTTTGCAAATGAGGCATGGAGTGTTCAAAGTAACACAATATTAGCAAATAGCAATAAAATCTTACATTACCCATAAGAGCTTATTCATGAGCTTATTTTTACAAAATAAATGGGCCAGATGTAGCAATGGCATCCACGTAATGTAGATGGGGAATTTTAGACAGAGAAACATGAAATAACTTCCCACTCCACCTTCATAAATTGCTTCCACCCACCACTGCCACCACGTTCTGCCTTGCCACTGCCAATGACTCTGGAGTTGATCTTCTTAAACCGCTCCACTTCTGCTAGAAACATGCTCCAGATAGCACCCAAATACCTTCCCACTGGCTTAAAGTGCAAACTGCTTACCTCAATGTATGAGGCTGTGCGTGACCAGGCCCCTGCCCATCAATCTCATTCCTCAGTTTTCCTCCCTTCCCTTAGTCCAGTCTATAGCACCTTTCAACTGTGCCTAGAACACATGGGGCTTGTTACCAGAACTGTGGAACTTTCTGCCCATTTTCTGGGGGCTCATCTCAATGCTATCTCTCAGAGAAGTCTCCTCTCCTCAAAGCCCAATTTTAGAAAACCTCTCTCTCCCCCAACCCCTGCCTCCTCTTTCTCTCTCCCACCCTCCTCTCTCTCTCCCCCCACCTTCCCCCCTTCCCCCCCCTCTCCTCATTCCCTCCCTCTCCATACAAGCAGAGACACCAGTACCCATTTATCGTCTCTATATCATGGCTCTTTACTCAGTGTCTAGCATTCACTAGTCACTCAGTAAATATTTTTTGAAGTCAATGAAGGAATGAACAATGATTGTACAAAAAATCAACTAGTCCACTTAATTCAATCTGTGTCTATTTTTAGAGTAGACTTTTCTTTCTCCGTAACTGCTAAGTTTGCTTTTTAAAGCCTATATTATTAGCCTGCTTCCATTAGTGTGTTATGAGTCATGCCTATAAAATGAATCAAAGTGACAGTGAGGGCACATAACAGGTGCCTGAATTCATAGAAAAAGGCAGTAAAAACTCACTATCCAGTTCTTAAAACCACAAAGCTGCAGATTTCTGGCACAATATATTTTCAGAGCTAATTATTCCCCTTCACTCTCTCTTCACCTAAAACTTCCTCTTCAATGCTTCATTTTTATGGAAATTTTTCAACTCTCCAGAGGTCAGTTGGAGCCATAATCATTGCCTCGGGGTAAAAAAAAATCAGGCCTAAGATACACTAAGGTATAAACAATCAGATGACTGCCTTCCTTCACAGGAAATATCCATCTTGAAGGGCGCAGAGAAAGAAGTACACATTCTTAAACTCCAGCTGACATCCCCAGGGCTCCCACTCTATAGAACAGACCTGGTTGGCACTTGATGTTTTATGCTGAGAGAGCTTCAAAGAATACAGACTGTCTTGTCTGCAAAAGCAGCTGGGTGAGGGAATGTGTATTCCTCACTAAGGTGCAAAGGACAGACACATTCAATGGAGAACAAATGTGCCGGGGGTTCATAGGAAACTCCATTTTTTTGTATTTTTTTGTGTTTGTTTGTTTATGGGAAACTCCTTGGGGTGCTGGGCAAGCCCTTTCACACCTCAGAAGAGATTTCTCAACTATGAGTAGTTGAACCAGATTAACATCCCTCTCAAGCAATGACAGTCTTGGCAATCTGTGGAGGCATAGTGGAGTGTAAGCTTTGAAAACAAAGGACCTGGTTCAATAAAAACAATCGCCATTTGATCAGATCAGAAATGGCAACTCCTCACAAAAGTCTGCAGAAGGGAGAGAGCCTTCATTGCCCAAATGCAATGACAGGAACCAGCAGATGGGAAAACGTCAAGTTGGTGGACTCTCTCACTGGCTTCTGCAGGGCTACCAGAATTCACTCTGTGAGGATGTCCAAGTCAGTGCTGGCAGCTCACCAATGGCTTGTGGCCAGAACGCCATCACTTTCTTACGGATCAGGCCATTACTTAATGCTCTGGTCTCTGAGTTCAGTGTTAGCCCAAGATTTGGTCCTGAGCCTTTTGGGATTGGGCCTGGGCACTTTTGGGGCTTCATTTTCCAGCTCCTACTCATATATGTCCCCTAGCTCAGCATTCTCATTTGGGTAAAGGTAATTCATGCTGAACTGATTCATATATCAAAACTGAACTGGATCCTTTAAAAGTGACAAGCTCCAGTTTATCACTCACCCTCCACCCACCCGCAGTTCTACCTTTTCCTTCCTTATCCTCTCTGCAGCAGCCCCAGGGACCACAGGTCTAAATGAAAGCCAGAACTTGAGGAGTTTTTTGGAGATAGCAACTTCTACTAGAAGCTCCAGGGGATGATGAGGAGAAAGAATGTTCTGTTTATTGGTTCTGTTTGACTCTAAAAACAAGCCTCCCCTTGACTCAGGCCTGAGCAGACTTGATCTTATCTGCCCTGCAAGTGGGGCGGGGTGGGGTGGCTGGATGACTGGAGTGCGAGGGGAGAGAATATTGCTTTGCCTTTCTAATGTTGGTCCTACAACAGCTACTCAGAACTGAGCGCCCAAGAAGCATTACTCTCCAGTGGAAGTGTTTGTTTTGTCCCAGCGGAAGCTCTATGGATAAGAAAGCTCTCCATAGTCCCTCTTGTCTTGACCTTATTCCACCTCTCCCGCACCTAATTCCTGGGCTTGCTTCCTCTCTGATAAAGGTTTCCAGTTCCGATAAATGGGATTCCACCCTGGCCTCCGCAGAGATCCTTGCGCTGTTCCCTGGGGCTGCAGGGACCCCAGCCCAGCACAGACCTGGAGGCTGATGCGTTTCCATCTACTCCTTCCCTAAACTCGTCCTTCCTTGTCGGTGCCTGCCCCCAGCGACGCTCCAGTGCAGCCAAGACCGAGGTCGCCACCCCACGCCCTCCCCACGCCCCGCACCCCTCCTCCGGCTTCCGCCTCGTCCCGGGGGGTCCCTCCTCACCTGCGCGCTGAGTGAGCTGCTTGCGGGAACCGGAGTCCCGGGGCGCGTCTCGCCGCGCACGGATCTGGACGCTGCGGCCCCGGGGGCTTCAGGCCGCAGATCGACCTGGCAGCTGCCTCGAGCGCCTGTCAGCGGGCTGTGCTCCTCATCCAGCGCGGCTTTATCGCATGACCTTCTCCTCCCCCAGCGATTCGGGAGGAGGGACGGGGTGGAGCGTGGGGCCCGCGGCCTCCCAGTAGTGCTGCAGCTCGGGACCCGAGCATGCTCAGGCGCAGCCAGCGCGCTCACCAGGGCTGGAACCTCGTCCGTACCACCCCAGGGCTAACTTACTCGCCGCAGGATGCGCCCAGACGGTGCCAGATCGGGTGCTGTGACCGACCCCTACCCTCCCCATGTCCTGTTCCCAGTTCGATTGTCATCAGATCTGCGCTCTGCTTCCTTCAGCCTCACTGAATTCCAAGTTACTCTACTTCCATCGGAAATGCCCTGTGCGTTTTGCATTTACCTTGTACTTTAGGCGCCAACTCAGAAATTAAGAAACTCTGCTCCATACCAGAAGGCCTGCCAACTGTGGTCATTTCATTTCTACATAGAAATGCATTGAGGGATCATCAGAAAGAGCGTTTATAACTTAGGTAAATGGTGTAAGAAGGGGCCAACTCATTATTCATCTGAACCCAGTTGTTTGGGGTTTAAATGCTATTCCTTTCTTTATATTCCAATGCTTTCTGATCAAAACAATTCTGATAAGAACATATTCATCTAAAGCTTCAGCTAGAGACTCGGGGAAAATAATTTGATACTTACATGTGGTATTATTAAAGTGTCTTTTTACAATAGTGGTTTTTGTTTTGGGGGAAGGGAAGGGAATGGTAGGTGAAATTTATTTTATTTTTATTCTGAGAACTTTGTAATAAAGGAGCAGGCGTTTTAGCTCATTTCACACACTTATTGGTGGAATTGCCTTGAGCAAATTCTTTATTTTTTCTGCGCTGGGTTTAACATGGAGATAATCAGAAACATTGTGAGAAGGAAATGAAAACGCATGTGAAATGCTTAGGACAGGGCCTGACACATGGGAAATATTCACACCGCTATTTAATTTTAATATATTTTAACAAGCACTAATTTATTTAAACTCAACAATAGATGACAATTTAATAAAGGTATATCAGCCTACTGACATTTGACTGTACTTCCTGGACTAACTCTTTGGGTACAATTTAATAAGTTTAGAAACTAAGGCCCCACTCCTCGTCCAGCAGGCAGGCCTGGGAGGCATGAGTGTAGAAGGGAATGGATAAGGCCTTGGGTCAAGGCTATAAGATGGACCACCATGAAAAGAAAAGTCAGCCCAGCTCCAGGAAGGCAGAAGCAGGGCCAGGACATGTTTCTGTGGTGAAGGCCTGTTCCTGAGCCCAGATATCCCAGCAGATAACTGGTGCAAACTGGCGCCCCGTGTTAGAAAGTTCACTAAAACAGAATATAAAAGAGACCCTCAAATCCTCCTTCTGGTGCAGACTTCTCCCATCTTACCAGCTGCTTCTATTAGTCGCTTATTTCAATAAACTCACGTCTCCTGTTCTCCACTCTTTGTCTCTGGTGAATTTTTTCACCCCTGCGCCTCCAGCCTCACCTGATATTTCTACTCATTATGATAATCTCCAGTGATACAAATTGTCCCAGAGTGTTAATCTAAAAAGATACTATGTTCTAACCAGAGGACTCTCTATGAATCATTTCCTTTTGACCTGAAGACCAGATGAAGATACAGGAGATAGAATCACACCTAAGAAAGGTTTTGGGCTTTGAAATCAGGTCTTGAAGGCAAGTATGAGATATTTTATTTCTCTAAGTGTCAGCTCTAGGCCTTCTCTGATGGTCATCAGTGCATATTCACTGAGCATCTCAGAGTGGCTAGTAGTTAGCAATTAGTGCCTTGAGAAAATACCCAGTATGAGGTTGCCAGATTTAGCAAATAAAACTATGAACATCCAATTGAACTTGAATTTCAGATTTGAAACAACAAAAGTTTTTTAGCCTAATTATGTCCTATGCAATGACAGACATACTTATTCTCAAAAATTATCTGTTCTTTATCTGAAATTCAAATTTAATGGACACACTGTATTTTCCTGACACCCCTAGTCCAACAAAATTACTAAAAAATTCCAAAGGGATACTTACATAGATATGTATACACATCTACATTCCAAAGGGACAACAAATTGACACAAATATACAAATTATATGGTGGATCTGATAAGGGTTTTGTTTTAGTTTTATGTAGTGAAGAAAAAAAATAATGCTCTTGGGTTTATAAATTGATTCTTTATCAAGCTTTTTTTTAATCTCTTAATTCCTACTCCCATTTCCCATCAACATAGCAGGGCTTCTTTCCTCTTTCATAAGCAAAAAATGATGACTCTCCTCTCAGTCAAGATACCTGATTAAATAAAAAATAATGTGCTCGTTAGTGTATTTAAAGTGTTTATTGAGCGCCAGCTGCATGTTAGACACCATTTCAAAAATGAGTAAGATGCAGTACACAGTAGGGTAAGAAAATAGTAACACAGGTAAATGCAAGACTGTGGGTGTTCAGAGAAGTGAGTTAATTGTCCCCAGATGGGATGGGAACCCAAGTTTTCCTTACTGCATTGGATCCAAGGAAAAATGGTTCCAATTCAGAAATGCAAAGGAAGGATGTCCAGAATTACAGCCATGCTTGGGCCCAGAAACTCGCCAATCCTGACCAATTGAAGTCAAACTGAAAGCATGTAGGGAACTAGGGACTCCTTGAGGCTGTTGGAAGGTGACAGATGGAAAATAGAAAAAAGCTCTAATTAATTAAATTTAAAATAAAAATATTAAAGGTGAAACTAGGAATTGCAAAGGGGAAAATATCCAAGAAAGGCATGACACAAGTGTGATACAACCTAAAATGGATTGATTTAGAGCTACTAGAGGGTATTGAAATCTAAAATCCAAGAATATACTTCTCTGAATGATCCACAGAAGAAAATATGATCAGAGTGTTCCACTATACACTGTGGAACAATATTCATATTGTCTAAAAATGGAAGCATTGTTTATTCGCTTTCAACTTGTAAAATCATCTCAAAAACAAGTCAGAGAAATCTCACCAATCATACAAGAGACTCTCAGTAAGTTTAATTTTTTAAAAAGATTTATTTATTTATCCATATAAGAACTGGTGTACAGGCCAGAGGTGTGGGAGGTTAGAGGATTCACCACAGACAGAGTGGGGAACAGAACAGGCAGATGTACTGAAATATACTGCTGAGGGAAGTAGCGGGCTAGTCAGGAGAGCTCTGCTGCGACGTGTGGGTGTAGCTCCCTGGCCTGCCAGGGATCGAACTCGTGCTATAGTGGCTGCAGATAGCTTCATAGGTTGTGTCTTAACCCCTTGCGCCACCAGGGAGGCCCAAGGTTAATTTTCAAAATGCAAAAGTAAAGCAAAGTATGTTGTTAGTAGCTCAGGAAAGAAAGTTCTGGCTATATAGTAAATTTACAGAGGAGAGTGTAGTGGAGAGCCTAAATTCAGGTATGTAACTTCTTACATCATTTACCCCCAAGGAGGGTGAAGGAAAAGATAGAGCTAGTGTGTATGTGATAAGACAACAGGTCCCAAATGGTAATACCTCATAAGTTGCTAAAGTGGAGAGAAGATAAAGAAACATTTATTCCATTTTTTAACCAAACCAACATTCCCGATTCAATTCCAGACTCAGTCTTCACCCACATTGGCAGTATCTTAATGCCCTTTGTAGACTTGATTTACTTAGAGACTCTGGAACTGTGAATGTCACAATTCATTTGTTTATCTGCACTCTTTTTTTAAAAGATTTATTTATGTATACAAAAACTGGGAGTAGGGTCAGGAATGGCCACTGAGCAGGTTATCTAATCCAGCAGACTGGGCAAAGGAGGAGTTCTGGAGACCTCAGGGGTTCTGCAGGTCTTCCACCGGGGTTCACCAGGCACATGGCAGGCAGGGGCGCTGGGGGGCCGGGAGGCTGCCAGCCCTCCCAGCCCCCAGCAAATCCTCACTCTATCTGGGCTCTCCAGCGTTCTCTGCTTCTGCTGCTGCTTCTCTGCTTCTCTTTCGGCTTCTGCTGCTGCTGGCATCCCCGTGACGCCGCCCTTAAAAGCACAGTCTTAGTCCAGGTGAATCCCCTCTACCTATGCCCACACCCTATTCCAGGTGCCCGCCATCAGGCATGCATTCAGGACCGCAAGGATCCATCATCTATCCTGATGGCAGGAGGGCAGAAAAGCCTGACATCTTTCTTTACCCTACACAGGCCAGAGGTGTGGGGGGGTGGTGAGAGGATTCACCAGAGACAGTGGGGAACAGAAAAGGCAGATGTACTGAAATACACTGCTGAGGGGAACAGCGGGTTAAGTCAGGAGAGGTCTGCTACACCATGTGGGTAGCTCCCTGGCCAGGGATCAAACTCGTGCTGCAGTGGTTGCAGATAACTTCTTCATAGGTTGCCTCTTAACCCCTTGCACCACCAGGGAGGCCCAGTTTATCAGCATTCTTAATTGGGCATTATGATCTGGCTAGCTAAACCAGTCTGCAGGATGATTTTCCTTGCTCAAGTCATTGATAACACCTCTGCTAACCTCAATAAAGGTGTAGGAAGCACTGAGCTCAGCCCAAGGCTTCCAGGTTTCTCTCACTAATTCACATTCACCTGATTTTAATAACTTTACCTCATTGCCAACTTATTCGGTTCTGTAAGCACAGACTCATCAGTTCCCTCCTTCCCATTCCAACTGCTACTACACTAATCAATCTCAAAAGCTCTACCCTTGACAATCACAAAATCTTTCTTTTGTTTATACAAGTCATATGGGCTCATTATAGGGAAAATGGTGTTTAATTCATGCTGATGCATGAATATACATCCTTTCACCACATGAACAAGTACATGCATATATACTAAATTATTACTCATTTTTAAAGATTCTATCTTAATTTAACAAAATAACATTAACATTTTCCAAACCAATAAACACACATCTACAATATCAGTTCAAAGCGCTATATAATATTTTCTCTTGTGAGTGGAAATTGGAGTTATTAGAATGTTTGGGTTCTTAAAATTGTTTAATATTTG